GAGTTTAGAATACAGAAACAAATGTCTCTGGGTTTTCTCCTGATGTGGCCTTAACACGTCTCTATATACTCACCTCTCGTGTGGAAGAACTGAGTAAGCAATTGCTTGCCCTCATTACACTTTTTCTCCCTGTCCTGTCTTTCTTTTCTTTTCTGAAATCCTGATTTTCCTTTCTTTGGAAAAGACATTTCTATTTTTCCCGCTTCTGCCGCTGCTTGTCAAACAAGTCAACTCGCTGCAGCGGCAACAACACAGCAACAAGCGCACATGTGGGTCGTACCATTTGATCTTTTGTAAGGGGGTGGCAGGGCCCTGATATAGCATAAAAAATTGTTTTTAAAGGAAAACTGAGGTTAAAACGTTTGTTATTTTTATACAGGGCCCCTTTCATTCAAATTGTAATAATATGAATATACCACAATGCCTAATACATATAAATATAAAGACACACTTTAGAGGGCCCCTCCCCGCCTTGGGCCCTGGGTACTCGGTACCCTTTACCCCCCCAGTCCGACGCCCATGGTCCCAGCTCAAAAGTGGCCAAAATGACGTGCGCTGACATGCTTGCAATACCACCCCGGGCCGATGGGGGGGACCCAGAAGAAGAATTAGCCAATGCTAACATATAGCGTTGGCAGACCTCTCAAAAACGTCTTTACAGGATGGACCAAAAGTTGGCTCTTGGCCCAAAGCTCCGTTCCACATGTGTCAATGCTGAGGGGGGTGGATTTTTTTGGTCCACTCTAGTTTACTCGCTGTGAATTTTTGAAGTCTCTCGTTCAAATGAATGGAGCTGCGCCGGCTGACTCATGCGCAGATGCGTTTTTTCACAATTTTCTTGTGGGCGGGACCACTCGCGGCCATTTTGGATTGCTCCAGTAGAGCACATTTTTTGGCCCATTAGTTAGAATGGCGGAGATAGGCGTGACTCTGTCCATTAATATATACAGTCTAAGGTCCTGACGCACTCGGGCTGTCGCGTCTGATTTGAGGTTACTGCATCAGTCCAACAGCTGAGTGTGATTAGATACAGTTGTGCGCACGGTGCTCCATCCTCTGCAACAACACAACAAAACAACAACAAATATGCAGTTTGTGATGATTAAAGCAAACTGATGAAAATACAATTGTTTTTCTTCATTCGGAAATTACATAGGAACCCCATGGCAACCCCATAGCAACCTCATGGTAACCCCATAGCAACCTCATGGTAACCCCATAGCAACCCCATAGCAACCTCATGACAATCTCATAGTATCCTCATGGCAACCTCATAGCAACCTCATGGCAACCCCATAGCAACCTCATGGCAACCCCATAGCAACCTCATGGCAACCCCATAGCAACCTCATGGCAACCCCATAGCAACCTCATGGCAACCCCATAGCAACCTCATGGCTACCCCATAGCAACCTCATGGCAACCTCATAGCAACCTCATGGCAACCTCATAGCAACCTCATTTCATTTCAACCAAAGAGCCAATCAAGAGCAAGGCAGGTCTGTTTCCTATTGCATTATTCGCTAACCAAAGCTGAATTGTGGAAAGGATTTGTTTGTTATCGAGGCTCATAACTGAGTTTACAAAGAACTTATCAAAATAAAAACGACACAATTGTTCAACCAGTGTGTTTTTCATGACCGAAATGAAATACTTGTTCTGTAACTATCTTTGCCCGATCCTGTCAGACCTCTGAAGCTAAGCAAGACTGGGCCTGATTAGTGCTGTGATGGGAGACCTCTGGAAACACCAGGTGTTACAGTGGAGTGGCTCTGAACTGTCACTGTTTCCTTTGGCAAACACTAGAATGAGTCTGGTGTGTGAATGGTTGGTTGTGGAGGGAGGGGCTGATGGCACAGACTGGTTGCCTCACTGCTGTCAGCGTGCCCCAGGGCAGCTGTGGCTACAGTAGTAGTTTATCTGATTACTCGAAACACAGTGGTGTTCGGAGAGAAAGAATAAAGAGTGTGAAGGTTGTTTGAGTGTCCTGAAAATTGCTGTATAAAACCAATGCATTACTACATTTTTGTTATCAATACTTTTAAAGATGGAATCGGCTGTGTTCCAGTTGTCTTTTTATTCTAGTATTTTGATGAATGATTTTAGTTTTTCTTTCGCTTGAGAATCCTTTCCTGGAGGCAACAGAATCTTACTCCCCTGAGAGTTGGCACATGCTCTTTGTGGAGTTGGATTACAGTCACACATTTTATTGAAACTAAAGCCGTGTTTACAGTTCAGCCCAGGCCAAGTTCTGTTTCTGGCTCTTAAACAAGGTCGTACGGCTGCGGCTGACGTCTCACGTGGGGAGTCTCTAATGTTTATGTGAATTGGGAAATAAGTTTCCCTATTCTGCTCTACTCCACCTGGTTTTGTTTCCAATACTCTTTTGTCTCTGGTACCGTGTCCAAGCAGCCTGCACACAGAAAACCAGCATACAGGGAAATTCCTTGGTAACCTTGGCTTCCAGCAGCACTAAGGCCATTCATTGTCAGAACACTTTAGCTCCAGCTCGGACTGGATTGGACCAAGAGGGACTAAAGAAGGACCAGGTACTGGTAGAGTAGAGCAAGGGTTCCCAAAGTTTTTAGCCCGCGACCCCCATCATAAATGCCCTGCTAACCCGCGACCCCCCCCCCACCAACAGCCATTCCGTCACATGAAATGAGCATGTATTTCCTTGATACGGAGTAACGCTTTCTAGAGACTCACGCCACTACCGAGCTGCACTGTCCAGCCCAAAAAAGGAGGCTTGCATATTTTTACTCATGTAGTGAGTGACACAGTGATGGGCTTGGTGGGTTCCCTCCTCAGCAGAAGTGGAGCGCATTTCTTGCGGCTCGCCCTCACTGTTCTCCTACCGCGGTAAAGTGGGCCGGCTTTCCGGAGTCAGCAGTAAAGAGGTCCGCACATTAAAAGCGGGCGGCCGCTTTCTGCTGTTACTTTATGCGGTTCATCCCCGCGGCTTCTCTTTCCAAAGTTACTGTCAGTAAAGGCATAAACCGGCCACCCGCTTTTAATGTGCGGACCTCTTTACCTTTGACTCCGAAAAGCCGGGCCTCTTTAACGCGCTGTTCTACCGCTGTCCTCCCTCCCTCCTCTGCCCTCTCTCCCTCCCTCCCTCCCTCCACTGCCCTCTCTCCCTCCTTTGCCCTCTCTCCCTCTCTTCGCACCATCAGCCTGACCCCTGATACAAGTGACTTTTCTCTCCCTCCGGGTTTTTCTGTTGTGGATATTAACCACGTTTCATTTTAAAGCAGGTATTATTTATTTGTAGCCTCCAAACACCTTTAGTTTTAGCAAACAACAGCAGGACACGCTTTGTCGCTGCGCATGATGTGAGCTGTGTTACGTGATGATTTTGATTGACGCTGCAATGACTGGGACAAAATAACGTTATTAAAATATATTATAGTCTCCAAACACAATTTAACAAGTAGTCCTTTTGAATCAAATCAAATGCTAAATAAATATTTAAGGGCTTTATATTTGCTCAAAAAAAAAAAATCTTTTTTTTTTGTTTGTGTGGAAATTATCTTGCGACCCCCCCCCCCCCAGGGGTTCCCGCGACCCCCCGGGACTTTGGGAACCACTGGAGTAGAGTATGTCTTATCTGTTCAGAATTTTACTTTCTGTTGAGACAAACAAAATGTATTCTGAAACAGCTTAAGGTTTCATTATGTGATAGTTGGAGATAGCTTTTTAGTTTCACAATTGAACCTTGAAACCGTTCAAACGTGTACAATGATAAAAAACCTGTAGAAGCTGTTGGTCCATAGGGAGCAGGATGACCACTGTCCATAGATGTCCATACACACAATTATAAATAATTAATTTCGAGCCATGGCCAACAAGAACAAAGAACAACAAAATAGAAATAAAATAATAAATTATATTATACAAATATAAAGTATGTTTTGTCTTAACAAAAATCAAGCTCGAAAAGGAATGGGAAGAAGTTAATACTTTGAAACTCCCTCTCTCTATTTATCATTCTAAATGAACTTGAATGATGTGTTATCAGTGATGTACAGGAGCTCATCTGCAATTCTTATGTCCACTTCCAATCTCCAGCTGTTACTCTTCTCTCTGCACTTCTCTGAGCGTCCTGGGTGCTCCGATCCCAGAACCCTCAGGCTGCTGCCGGAGCGTCCCGCGGGCCTCGGGCGTTCAAATACATGTTCCATGCTCCTCTTTGAGTCCGCTGTGAGGTGTGGTCATTACCTTTAACTGCGACGACAGAATCGGCCGATGCAGTCTGCTATTGTACAAGAGCTCTTCAAAAATGATAAAATATGAGGTGCTACACAGGCTAATGCATTACTTACGTTTTTCCTTAACATTGACAACCGTTAGAAAGATAGTTTAGCCAGCAGCCCTTTGTGTTCAGCTGCAGTCTGTTGTGGCCGCAGCTGCCCTGGGGCGGCCAGATAAACGGAGGCGGTTTGAGGCTCTGTGGCGCCACTCCGCTGCAGAGTTATAGGTTCTCCTCCAACACTTATTAAAAAATCAAGATATTTTTTAGCTAAAAAGTGACTGCATTCGTTTCCACTTGATTTGAGCTGCTGCAACTGACCACACCACAGAAAATGCTTTTTGACTCCAAACAAAATGATTCCAGTTCTATGACATGCACCTGTAGAGAAACTGCATCAGCTGTTAGTCCAATAACCCCATTGGTCCCCTCCTGAAGTCCTCGTAATGTCACTTTATTTATTCTGTGCTAACTTATATTAAATACACTGCTACACATTATGAAGGCTTCAGTTATCTCTGTCCTGTCTGTGCTCTGTCCCCTCTGTGGGACCAATGTGTTGTTTTTAATGTTATTTGTGACCAGTGCTGATTATCAATGTATTTGTTTGGATCCCCATCAGACACTTGGGCAGCTGCTCTCTCTGGGGTCCAGCCTTAAAAATTCAGATTGTGTAGTCATTGTGAACGGGTTATTAAACTTTAAACGGGTTATTAAAGTTCCTATGTTTTTCTTTTTTACTTTTTAGGGAAGAAATCCATTTTTCCTTGAACCCGCCATCATCCTCGCCATCACCGACGGCAACAAGCTGACGAGCACCGGGGGAGTCCAGGACGAGGTGCGACATTTCATTATATCTTTATCTTTAGCATAATCAAGAAGCAAAGAAAGAAAACACAAAAACTTGAGTTTGGAAATGTCTCTTGATTTTTATTTTCAAATTTTGTTGTCGGCAGAAGCTTTATTTACCCTTTGTTCCGTCTCCTGTTCTTTAGTGAAGGATTTAAACCGTGTCTCTCTCGTCCACAGCTGCACCTGCCTCTGACCACGCCCCTCCCGGGCGCGGAGCTCACCAAAGAGCCCTTTCGATGGGACCAGCGTCTGTTCGCGCTGGTGCTGCGGATAGCAGGAGTGTCGTCTGTGGAGCCCGAGCCTCTGGGGGGGGTCCCGTCTGACGACTCCCCCATTACCCCCATGTGCGAGGTCACTGGAGGTAAGAGGACCGCATGGACCCTGTCTCCCCCGTCTCCCCCGTCTGTGGTCGACTGCAGAAAGGGCTAGCATACTTTACCTAGCAATGCAAGACTCAGTGGAAACGCTGTGGTGAAAAGAGGTCGCTGTCTTACTCACTTTAGTTCATTTGATTCTGAGCAGCTAAATAATCAGAATATATAGCTACCACCACTATCAATAAACATATTTTTATTCATAGAATCCATAAATGTGTGCATTGTTCTGATATTCCGTTTATTTCCTGAGATATGAATTAATAAAGTTGACAAATATGAGGCAGAGTGGGCCACAGATAGTCTGGACTCTGAAAAAAAATGAGTCGGGATATCCTCGGCATTCCGCGCGGGTTAATGACGTCGCCGCGAGGTGATATTTACCGGGTAAACAGATCACTTATTACTGCGCATTACGGTGAAAGCGGCATCTCTCCAGCTGTTGCGGTTACGGAGATATAATCCGACGAACTTAATAGCAAAATACACGTTAAGTAACCGGGATTTTGGAAAACCAACACCACACACATACATCTAAGATTATAAGCTTTAGAATGATGGTATATTTGAATCATGTCACGGTTGTTTTGACCCGCGGATCAGTGAATAAAGTTGAAAAACCGCCGCGCTTATCACACACTCTGCTCTGCTGCCGAAGCGGCAGGCAAGTCCAAGCGAGTCCACTTTTCAGGGGGGTAGAAACGCGAGTCACGTGGCCCAAACGGACCAATGCCATTGGTTGGACTAATCCATTTTACATGTTAACAAGGGTGTTTGGGTTAGTTAACATGTTTAAAGCTCGAGTCTGTAACTTTAGTCTCATAAATAACATGCTTAAAGCTGAGGTCTGTAACTTTAGTCTCGTAAATAACACATAAAGCTGAGCTCTGTAACTTTAGTCTCATAAATAACATGTTTAAAGCTCGGGTCTGTAACTTTAGTCTCATAAATAACATGTTTAAAGCTCGGGTCTGTAACTTTAATCTCATAAATAACATGTTTAAAGCTCGGGTCTGTAACTTTAGTCTCATAAATAACATGTTTAAAGCTGAGGTCTGTAACTTTAGTCTCATAAATAACATGTTTAAAGCTGAGGTCTGTAACTTTAGTCTCATAAATAACATGTTTAAAGCTGAGGTCTGTAACTTTAGTCTCATAAATAACATGTTTAAAGCTCGGGTCCGTAACTTTAATCTCATAAATAACATGTTTAAAGCTCGGGTCTGTAACTTTAATCTCATAAATAACATGTTTAAAGCTCGGGTCTGTAACTTTAATCTCATAAATAACATGTTTAAAGCTCGGGTCTGTAACTTTAATCTCATAAATAACATGTTTAAAGCTCGGGTCTGTAACTTTAATCTCATAAATAACATGTTTAAAGCTCGGGTCTGTAACTTTAATCTCATAAATAACATGTTTAAAGCTCGGGTCTGTAACTTTAATCTCATAAATAACATGTTTAAAGCTGAGGTCTGTAACTTTAGTCTCATAAATAACATGTTTAAAGCTCGGGTCTGTAACTTTAGTCTCATAAATAACATGTTTAAAGCTGAGGTCTGTAACTTTAGTCTCATAAATAACATGTTTAAAGCTGAGGTCTGTAACTTTAGTCTCATAAATAACATGTTTAAAGCTGAGGTCTGTAACTTTAGTCTCATAAATAACATGTTTAAAGCTGAGGTCTGTAACTTTAGTCTCATAAATAACACATGTTTAAAGCTGAGGTCTGTAACTTTAGTCTCATAAATAACACATGTTTAAAGCTGAGTTCTGTAACTTTAGTCTCATAAATAACACATGTTTAAAGCTGAGATCTGTAACTTTAGTCTCATTAATAACATGTTTAAAGCTGGGGTCTGTAACTTTAGTCTCATATATAACACGTGTGTGTGTGTGCATATGCCAAAAACATTTCTAAGCATCATATTTAGATTGCTCCATCAATTACCTTTATTTTGATATATTACATAGTAGTTTGAAAAAAATGTTTTCCGGATTTCCTGTTGGCAGCCATCTTGGATAAGCTGGCGGCCATATTGGAATCGGGGTCGGCCCAATTCTAAAATGAATATCGAATTCAACATCCCTGAATTGTTTCCTTCTTTACTGTGGATTTTAATGTTTATAGTTAGTAAAATAGGGAAGTTACAGCACTTACAAGATGAATAAAGGCTTGAACTGGCTGAATAGAAGGTTCCACAGTATCCCTTTGTTTTAAACCAAATTACTTTCACTATAAGCGCCTAAAAGCACTTATCAATATGGTAATAAAATCATAACCACTTATCCGATTTTCATAATTCAAAAACTGTTTTATTCCTCTTACTGAGCTGGAAAATACTGTGCTGAATTAAATCTGATTTGGTAATTTAAAAAATGTAATCTTGCATTGCTACTTTACCTCTTTGTGTTTTGAAGATTTGTCTTGGTCTAGAAATGTAAACTGCACTTGGGCGGCACGGTGGCTGAGTGGTTAGCACTCTCGCCTCTCAGCAAGAAGGTCCTGGGTGCGAATCCCGGTCGGAACAGGGTCTTTCTGAGTGGAGTTTGCATGTTCTCCCCGTGTCAGCTCCGGTTTCCTCCGGGTGCTCCGGTTTCCCCTACCACTAAAAACATGTAGAATAGGCCTTGCATGCGCCTCCTGTACTGGCCCCGCTCCCATCTCTGTGTGGAGTGAGAGACAAATGCCCAAAAATAACAATTGTAAACCGCTTTGTGACTTTGGTCTGTGAAAGATGGTATATAAATAAAGATTGCTTACTTACTTACTGGTTTGGCTGGGGATGAATTAGAGAGACGAGAGAGACTAGAGAGAGAAAGAGACTAGAGAGAGGGAAAGACTGAGTGATTTTCCTGCCGTACCTGACAAGGGCTAGCTTCTCCTAACAAACTAGCAATTACCAAAACTCTGCGTCTGATGTGTCCATTCCCATTTGAAAACACGTGATAACTTGACTACTTTTAGGGACGTTTCCCACAGTAGTTTAAAAGTTGCGTCTGGATAAATCATTGACTGTCTTTGCTCTAAAAGCCGCTCAGTAAAATAAATAAATGTTACTTTTAACAAGATTTGAGGCCACTCTATCAGCTGCTACAGCTGCTACACAGGTGCTACTGCACAGGCTAATGCATTTCTTAAATTTTTTCCTTAACATTGACAATCGTTGGAAAGATATATTTTAGCCCGCAGCCCTTTGTGTTCAGCTGCAGTCTGTTGTGGCCGCAGCTGCCCTGGGGCGGCCAGATAAACGGAGGCGGTTTGAGGCTCTGTGACGCTGCTCCGCTGCAGAGTTATAGGTTCTCCTCCAACACTTATTTTTTTTAAAGATATTTTTTAGCTAAAAAGAGACTGCATTTGTCTCCACTTGATATGAGCAGCTGCTGCAACTGACCACACCACAGAATGTGCTTTTTGACTCTGAACAATGTTTCCAGTTCTATGACATGCATCTGTAGAGAAACTGCATCAGCTGTGAGTCACATGACCCCAGGGGTCCCCTCTCTGAAGGGGTTCTCCAGGGGCATCACTTCAGCTCTTGTTTAGCCGACTGCATAGAATATTTGCGATCTAAACATCTATTCATTGAAAGAACAACCGGCCAACTAACAGATGATCAAAATAAAGGTTGATCCCAGCTTCAGACCTGCACACTACGACCTCGTGACATATTTACAAACCAATACTGAAATATCAACTAGCAACAATAAATCCAGTTCATTGGAATCCTCAATCATAGTTTTCACATTGATCCTTTGCCTTTATGTCATGTATTGGCTCCCTGGTACCTACCAACGCAGAACTAAAGCCTGAGTATCTTCTGAGGTGCGCCGAGCTAGAGGTGGCTTTAAAAGTAGAACATCAGTGACCAGGCTTGGCCCTGGTCACTGATGTTACTGCTTACCCCTAACAGGGACGGATTCCCCACCCAGGATTTCCTCGTAAATAAAACAAGCTTAGATTAAAGAATCCCAGGGAGACCAACTAAACACTCAGCAACAAAAAGGAGAGCCTAATCTGGCACAACTAAAGCAGCCTTTCCACACAAACCTACCCCAAACTGAATCAACTGAGATGGATGAACAAAAACTAACAAGATTCAATTCATATGTTACACCCAAGAGACGAGCCCCCAATATGTTACACCCTGGTTCTACAGGTGCAACATGAAGGACAACAGGCAACTGAAAGTTAAGGTAATTTATTAACAGAAAGAAAAGTCTAGGGAAATAACACAAAGAAAACCAAAAAGGGGAAGGCAGGTTTAGGGGTGAGCAGGTGTGGGGGAGAAGGGCTGCTGCTGCCAGGACAGAGAGAGAGAGCGACATGGTGGAGTCAAGGTGTGTCTTAAGGGGCGTTCACACCGGACTTAACTTTGGCGTCAAAAGCGTCAGGTTTGCATTGAAAGTGAATGGTGAAGCGCGTCAGGTGAAGCCGAGGGGTCCGGCGTCACTTGGCGCGCGTCAAAAGCTTTAAAAGTTGCGCGTAATACGCGCTCACTTGAAGCTTTTGATGCGCGAAACGCTCGCGTATCAAAACAATCCCTCTGACGCCGAAGCTGAGCAAAGCTGAGCTTTTGAAGCTTTGACGCGGGCTTCAACCAATCAGGAGACGAGGAGCAGCAGCAGCAGAGGGTCTGTCTCTGTCATGGAGAGAAGTCATGTATCTGCTGCTGCTGTTTTATTGTCATTATTGTTATTAGTAATATTATTTGTACGAGTAGTAACGTTCTGAGTAACAAAAATCATTGTACACATGCTGTGTAGTAAACGTAGTTTATTTAAAATAAGAACAGGCCGACGATGAGTCTGGCTCAGAGCAAGGCAGCTCCGGGCGGGCGAGAGCCGGGGAGAGGCAGGGAGAGGCGGGCGAGAGCCGGGGAGAGGCAGGGAGAGGCGAGCGAGAGGCGAGCGAGAGCCGGGGAGAGGCAGGGAGAGGCGAGCGAGAGCCGGGGAGAGGCAGGGAGAGGCGCGAGCGAGAGCCGGGGAGAGGCGAGCGAGAGCCGGGGAGAGGCGAGGGAGAGGCGGGCGAGAGCCGGGGAGAGGCAGGGAGAGGCGAGCGAGAGCCGGGGAGAGGCGAGCGAGAGCCGGGGAGAGGCGAGGGAGAGGCGGGCGAGAGCCGGGGAGAGGCGAGGGAGAGGCGGGGGAGAGGCGAGGGAGAGGCGGGCGAGAGCCGGGGAGAGGCGAGGGAGAGGCAGGGAGAGGCGGGGAGAGGCAAGCGAGAGCCGGGGAGAGGCAAGCGAGAGCCGGGGAGAGGCGAGCGAGAGCCGGGGAGAGGCGAGGGAGAGGCGGGGAGAGGCGAGGGAGAGGCGGGCGAGAGCCGGGGAGAGGCGAGCGAGAGCCGGGGAGAGGCGAGGGAGAGGCGGGCGAGAGCCGGGGAGGCGAGCGAGAGCCGGGGAGAGGCGGGGAGCGAGGAGGCGAGGGAGAGGCGGGGGAGGCGGGCGAGAGCCGGGGAGAGGCGAGCGAGAGCCGGGGAGAGGCGAGCGAGAGCCGAGCGAGAGCCGGGGAGAGGCGAGCGAGAGCCGGGGAGAGGCGAGCGAGAGCCGGGGGAGAGGCGACGAGAGCCGGGGAGAGGCGAGCGAGAGCCGGGGAGAGGCGAGCGAGAGCCGGGGAGAGGCGAGCGAGAGCCGGGGAGAGGCGAGGGAGAGGCGGGCGAGAGCCGGGGAGAGGCGAGCGAGAGCCGGGGAGAGGCGAGCGAGAGCCGGGGAGAGGCGAGCGAGAGCCGAGCGAGAGCCGGGGAGAGGCGAGCGAGAGCCGGGGAGAGGCGGGCGAGAGCCGGGGAGAGGCGGGCGAGAGCCGGGGAGAGGCGAGCGAGAGCCGGGGAGAGGCGAGCGAGAGCCGGGGAGAGGCGAGGGAGAGGCGAGGGAGAGGCGAGCGAGAGCCGGGGAGAGGCACGGAGAGGCGAGGGAGAGGCGAGCGAGAGGCGAGCGAGAGAGGTGTGTCTCTGGTGTGTCTCTGGTGCGTCTCTGGTGTGTCTCTGGTGTGTCTCTGGTGCGTCTCTGGTGTGTCTCTGGTGCGTCTCTGGTGTGTCTCTGGTCTCTGGTGCGTCTCTGGTGCGTCTCTGGTGCGTCTCTGGTGCGTCTCTGGTGTGTCTCTGGTCTCTGGTGCGTCTCTGGTGCGTCTCTGGTGTGTCTCTGGTGCGTCTCTGGTGTGTCTCTGGTGCGTCTCTGGTGTGTCTCTGGTGTGTCTCTGGTGTGTCTCTGGTGTGTCTCTGGTGTGTCTCTGGTGCGTCTCTGGTGTGTCTCTGGTGCGTCTCTGGTGTGTCTCTGGTGTGTCTCTGGTGCGTCTCTGGTGCGTCTCTGGTGCGTCTCTGGTGTGTCTCTGGTCTCTGGTGCGTCTCTGGTGTGTCTCTGGTCTCTGGTGCGTCTCTGGTGTGTCTCTGGTCTCTGGTGTGTCTCTGGTCTCTGGTGTGTCTCTGGTCTCTGGTGTGTCTCTGGTGTGTCTCTGGTGTCTGCCTCTCTCTGAAACCCAGCAGGATGTTGTGTTTAGCTCCTGACTCCGCTGTGAGGCTGAAGGAGTGAAAACATCAGCTGATCCCAAACCAGTTGAAACATGGTGTAAGAAGTCAGTGTGAGAGCGAGGGTCAGATGGTGCCTCTTATAGTCCCTGCGGCAGGTTGGGAAAGGTTAATACTAGGGCTGTCAAACGATTAAAATGATTAATCGCATAGTAATGGTCAGTTAACTCACGATTAATGGCATTTTTAACATTCTATTTCAAATCCACTCCAATGGAAGTGAAATGAGATTATCAAACGACACATTGTCATTCAGACCAAATGAACTTCAATCTGTTTGATCCACAACCTTTTACTTTTGGGCGCAACCAACATGAGCTGTTGATGAACGGGAAAATGTACGAACCCCAGCTTTAATTTAGCGAGTTTAGTGGCGTTTCAGGAGGAGACACGACACTCCCTGAGGCTCCGTAGTTCAGCTTCAGAAGTGTATTTGTGTGGACAGGTTACGCACAGGTCACACAAAGACACGTAACCTGTGCATAACTCTTAAAACTTGAATTGATATGATATGGTATGGTTTTTATTTTTACAGGGACAGTGTACAATAAACATTAACCAAAAGGAGAGATGCTTTGTACCAGGTTGTAGCAGCAGTGCTAATTTACACCTGTAGTCCCTGAGACCTGCTCTGTTACCATCTCGCACCCATGTATCCACGACATTCTGAGTGATATTATGGATAAGTCTTTCGGGCATGCGTTATCGCCTCAATTTATTTTTTAACGCATTAATGAAAAATGTCTGTAACTCTAAATTAATTACAAATTTTAAGAATTAAATTGACCTCCTGGCCTTAAATGTTGATATAAAATAAGTCATTTTATGAATTCTAATATTACGGGTAAGTCCCGCCTTCCCTTCTCTTTGCTATAGCTCAGAATCCACATTTACATTTGTGTTATGGAAACGTAGGCACAGACCAATCAGAAAGGAAGGGGGGGAGCTTGCGTCTACTCTCTCTTGTTTTCTGAAAAACTGCAGAAAATCACTTTAACGTGAATTTACGCTATAATTTTGACAGCCCTAGTTTATACTAGTTTAGAAGGAAGTAAGTGGACTCTTGGATAGAGCTGTAACAAGTTAGTTTAGTTTAGTTTAAGAATTGTTTCTCAAATCTCTGGTCTCTCTCTCTCTCTGGTCTCTCTCTTTTGGTCTCTCTCGGTCTCTCTCTGGTCTCTCTCTCTGGTCTCTCTCTCTGGTCTCTCTCTCTCTGGTCTCTCTCTCTCTGGTCTCTCTCTCTGGTCTCTCTCAGGTCTCTCTCTGGTCTCTCTCTCAGGTCTCTCTCTGGTTGTGTGTAGGCCTGTTGCGATATTCAATAAATCAGTTAGTTGCATGATAATTAAAATTAGCTTGATAGTTTTCCTGCCCGCGATGAATTTCATTAGCATGCTTGTTTGTTTTCCAGTCTCTCTTTCCCTCTCCCTCTCGGATCAGAGAGCCGCAAAGTGGCCACGCGTGACGCGAGCAGACTGAAATAGCTCAAATACAAAATACAGCCAAAACGGGACCTAAACCAGGACTTAACCAGGATTGACAACGGGGGACGCAGTAGTTGTTCTCATTCAGGCTCTGGTAGTGACTAAACTAGCACAGTTGGCTAACTAGCTAGCTAGCGTGTTCGCCAATGCGAAAGTACGTTTAATAATAAAATAAACTTATGATGCACCTCCGTGAACACATACTGCTGTTATATCAAGTCTCTGGAAGGTCTCAGGACAAAGAGACGCTGCAGAGCTGCATTATTGGCAAGAACTTTACACAAAAAGCCGCTAGCATGCAAGCTAGCGGCTTTTTACTTCCACCACTTCCGGCGGTGGTCTTTAAAAATAAAATATATTTCTCTTTGAAAAGGTGTACCTGCATCATTTCATTGTATTAGATGAGAATGATCTCAGAACAACAATACTATCACCTATCGCAATAAATTCGGAGACAATTAATCGGCCAGCTAAATTTGTAATCGTGACAGGCCTAGTTGTGTAGTCCCGGGTGTTGTGTAGTCCTGGGTGTTGTGTAGTCCCGGGTGAGAAGTCCCGCTCTGGTGTGAGTGCTGATGACATTCAGGGTGCCGGTCTTCGTAGTTACCCTATTCTGACCTGTGCTGTGTCTGTGCAGGACGCTCGTACAGTGTCTTCTCCCAGCGCATGTTGAACCAGTGTCTGGAGTCTTTGGTCCAGAAGATCCAGAGCGGAGTCGTCATCAACTTTGAGAAGAGCGGCCCAGACCCGGCCGTGCTCGAGGGTGAGGCTCTTCATCTACTTCCTATTAAACTGTTGAGTAAAGCTGGGGTACCTGACTTTCAAACCTCAGAAAACACAACTATGTAGATGTAGAATCCATCTCATTTGTTCCTCGCTGACATTTGCAGTAAAACCACAGTGGAATACATGTGCAAGAGTCCCCAGTGTGCACCAGACAAGTAGAGAGAGAGGGGGGGATGCCAGAGAGGGAGTGGCCAGAGAGGGAGTGGCCAGAGAGAGAGGGAGTGGCCAGAGAGGGAGTGAGAGGCCAGAGAGGGAGTGAGAGGCCAGAGAGGGAGTGAGAGGCCAGAGAAGGGAGTGAGAGGCCAGAGAGGGAGTGAGAGACCAGAGAGGGAGTGAGAGGCCAGAGAGGGAGAGAGAGGCCAGAGAGGGAGAGAGAGGCCAGAGAGGGAGTGAGAGACCAGAGAGGGAGAGAGAGGCCAGAGAGGGAGAGAGAGGCCAGAGAGGGAGAGAGAGGCCAGAGAGGGAGAGAGAGGCCAGAGAGGGAGAGAGAGAGTGAGAGGGAGAGAGAGGCCAGAGAGGGAGTGAGAGAGGCCAGAGAGGGAGAGAGAGGCCAGAGAGGGAGTGAGAGAGTGAGGGGGAGAGAGAGGCCAGAGAGGGAGTGAGAGAGTGAGAGGGAGAGAGAGGCCAGAGAGGGAGAGAGAGGCCAGAGAGGGAGAGAGAGGCCAGAGAGAGAGAGAGAGAGAGAGGCCAGAGAGGGAGAGAGAGGCCAGAGAGGGAGTGAGAGGCAGACCAGAGAGTAGTTCTGTCTTTGTTGCTGTTTGACATCTGCAAACCTCACTTCTTTCTGTGATACAAGTCTTTGATGAATGAACAGATTTAGAATAATGCCTCTGTTCGGTGCAGATGCCCCGGTGGAGCCGCAGAAACCCGGCCCTCAGCCCTGGCACTGCTGCCACAAACTCATCTACGTTAGACCAAACCCTAAGACCGGAGTCCCCATCGGGCACTGGCCCATCCCTGAGGCCTTCTGGCCCGACCAGAACTCCCCCACGCTGGTGAGTAAGACCAGAACACCCCTGTGCTACACAGCTGCTACAGGTGCGACAGTGGTGCTACACAGGCTAATGCATTTCTTAAATTTTTTCCTTAACATTGACAACCGTTAGAAAGATAGTTTAGCCCGCAGCCCTTTGTGTTCAGCTGCAGTCTGTTGTGGCCGCAGCTGCCCTGGGGCGGCCAGATAAACGGAGGCGGTTTGAGGCTCTGTGACGCTGCTCCGCTGCAGAGTTATAGGTTCTCCTCCAACACTTATTAAAAAACCAAGATATAATTTAGCTAAAAAGAGACTGTATTCGTTTCCACTTGATTTGAGCTTCTGCAACTGACCACACCACAGAAAATGTGCTGATAATTTTGACAGCCCGACTTTATGCTAGTTTTCATTGAGGCAGAGTTTATGGACGTATTATTCTGGCTCCATCAAGTTTTAGTAGCTACAGGACATTGGTTTGTCAAAATATATGAATGGGTCTCAGAAGCTAACACTGCAGCTGCTAAAAACCTCATGTGTCCAGTTAAAACTATCGTCTTTCTGCTTCATTACAACATGAAAACCTGTGGGTTATATTCAGGTGAGGCCTATGTGTGAACAACATCTACTTTACCTTTAAAATGACGAAGTGAAACCTGATGTTTTTATTACTGTGGAATGATGTGTTCTCGTCAATGTTCAGAAATCCTTTGGCTGTGAAAAACCTGGAATCTGTATAAGTAGCTTTTCAGTTTGAGCTCCCAATAAATGTAGGTTTTCATTCCAAATTGTAACATCGTGTCTTGCAGCCGCCGCGCTCGGCTCATCCTCACGTCCGCTTCTCGTGTCTGGACTCGGAGCCGATGGTCATCGACAAAGTTCCCTTTGACAAATATGAACTGGAGCCGTCGCCGCTCACACAGTTTATACTGGAGAGGAAGTCCCCACACTCCTGCTGGCAGGTACACAACAGCAACACAACAGCAACTAGAACACAACTACAACATGACTATACCGCAACAACACAACAGTCACTCATCTGCACCGCGACAAGAACACAGCTACAACACAACAGTAACACAACTACACCACGACTACACCGCGACTACAACACAACAGTAACAGTTTCAAGACAACTGCAACACAACATTAACACAGCTACACCACGTCTACAATGCAATTACACCGTGACTAGGACACAACTACAACACCACAGCAACACAACTACACCGTAACTAGAACACGACTGCAACACATTAGAACAAACTACACTGCGACTATAACACAGCTACTCCGAGACTAGAACACAGCTACACTGCGACTATAACACAGCTACACAGAGGCTACAACACAGCTACACTGCGACTATAACACAGCTACAGAGGCTGCTACACAGAGGCTACAACGCAACTACACTGCGACTATAACACAGCTACACTGCGACTATAACACAGCTACACTGCGACTATAACACAGCTACACTGCGACTACAACACAGCTACACAGAGGCTACAACACAGCTACACTGCGACTATAACACAGCTACACTGCGGCTACAACACAACTACACTGCGACTATAACACAACTACACCGAGGCTACAACACAGCTACACTGCGACTACAACGCAACTACACTGCGACTATAACACAGCTACACTGCGACTACAACACAGCTACACTGCGACTACAACACAGCTACACTGCGACTATAACACAGCTACACTGCGACTATAACACAGCTACACTGCGACTATAACACAGCTACACTGCGACTACAACACAGCTACACTGCGACTATAACACAACTACACTGCGACTATAACACAGCTACACTGCGACTACAACACAGCTACACTGCGACTACAACACAGCTACACTGCGACTATAACACAGCTACACTGCGACTATAACACAGCTACACTGCGACTATAACACAGCTACACTGCGACTACAACACAACTACACTGCGACTACAACACAGCTACACTGCGACTACAACACAGCTACACTGCGACTATAACACAGCTACACTGCGACTATAACACAGCTACACTGCGACTATAACACAGCTACACTGCGACTATAACACAGCTACACCGCAGCTATAACACAACTACACCGCAGCTATAACACAGCTACACTGCGACTATAACACAGCTACACTGCGACTATAACACAGCTACACTGCGACTATAACACAGCTACACTGCGACTATAACACAGCTACACTGCGACTATAACACAGCTACACTGCGACTATAACACAGCTACACTGCGACTACAACACAGCTACACTGCGACTACAACACAGCTACACTGCGACTACAACACAGCTACACTGCGACTATAACACAGCTACACCGCGACTAAAGCACTACTACACTACAACACAACTACACCTCTACTTATAGTACCTGTTTGGCCCTGGTTCTGACCCGGCAGAGCTGGTACTGAAGTGTTCTGATGGACAATGCTGCTGGAATCCAAGGAAGTCACCCTGATACTGGCTTTTTGTGGTTGGTTAACGTATTTTTCGCACTATAAGCCGCACTGGATTATAAGGCGCATTATCCAATTATGCCTTTACTTTCATATATAAGGTGCACCAGATTGTAAAGCGCCTGGTTGCATAGGAAGGCTTTTATGTGCGCCTAATAGTGCGAAAAATACGGTACTCTACTTAATTGGGTTTCTATTGTGCCTTAGTATCTGCTACAGTATTCTAGCAGAGCAGGGTAGACTGGGGCGAAGTAGGATTGGTGGAAACGGGGCCTTATACTGTAGAGCGATAAAACATGGAGATTGTGACATAAACAGAGCACTTTCCCATTGGGCTTCATTGAGCTAGCGGGTTAGCATTATCCATCTGTACACGGTCTATGAACTCCACACACACTGATCACGTCCTGTGTCGCCCCCTGCAGGTGTTTGTGTGTAACAGTGCCAAATACAGTGACCTGGGCCAGCCGTTCGGGTACCTGAAGGCCAGCACCGCTCTGAACTGTGTCAACCTGTTCGTCATGCCCTACAACTACCCTGTGCTGCTGCCACTGCTCGGTACGACACTCTCTACTCTATCGTCCTGGAGAATAAGATGGTTTTGGGCCAAAATCAGGAATAAATAACTATAGTTTTTTCTCTCATCATGAATCATTTGTATGAAGTGTCCAGAAAAACAAATTAACATACGGGCAAAGTTGAGAAAAACTCATTGAGATGTTTGCTAATACAATGAGACAACAAGACAAATGTAAATAAGCTCAAGGCAACATCACACAAGGCATTTACATCAGATATATCACAGTCCATTTAAATAAGAAAAGATTAAATCCTTCAGTTGTTGCAGCGAAACACAACTGTTTTTGACCTGGATTTGAACTTTGTCATAGAAGAAGCCTGTCTCACATTTTCAGGAAGACTTCTCCATGTTTTAGCTGCATGAATCTGAAATGCTGCCTCCTCATGTTTAGTCCTGACTCTGGCACAAGCAGGCGGCCAGTCCCCTCTAAACGCTGCTGTGTTTGTGGCAAATGCTACACAGCTGCTACACAGGTGCTACACAGGTGCTACGCAGGCTAATGCATTTCTTACGTTTTTTCCTTAACATTGACAACCGTTAGACAGATATATTTTAGCCCGCAGCCCTTTGTGTTCAGCTGCAGTCTGTTGTGGCCGCAGCTGCCCTGGGGCGGCCAGATAAACGGAGGCGGTTTGAGGCTCTGTGGCGCCGCTCCGCTGCAGAGTTATAGGTTCTCCTCCAACACTTATAACTGCCGCAACTGACCACACCACAGAAAATGTGCTTTCTGACAGTTTTGCTGAACGTGCAACTGAAGGACTGTATTTTCAGGCACTGTGATTATTTATGATTTTAACGCCTTGTGTGATTTTAATGTTTCTCTGGTTGTGTTCAGTTCTTTGAGTTGCTCTGTGTATGGACAGTGCTATACAAATAAACGGACCTATTCCCTCCTGCAGATGACTTGATAAAAGTGCACAAGTTCAAGCCGACGTTAAAATGGCGCCAGTCGTTTGAAAACTACTTGAAGACGATGCCTCCGTATTACATAGGGGTCAGTATCTATGAGTTGTACATGTGTCGTTGTGTTGTTGTGTTGTACTAATCTGTAGTGTCTCTTTGTTCAGTCGTTGAAAAAAGCGCTGAGGATCATGGGAGCTCCGAACCTTCTCGCCGACAACATGGAGTACGGCCTGAGCTACAGCGTGGTGTCGTATCTGAAGAAGCTCAGTCAACAGGTGCCACTCTCTGGGGGGCAGTCATGTGACCTGAAGGGGGCGGGTCATGGGGATGTGGGACAGGAAGTGTTTTTCTCCCATTAGTTCAACAGGGCGATGCAGAAAACAGGCACATAGGAGAATTTCACTGTTGGTTTAACTAATTAAAACTATTCTCAACACAACAATGAGGTGGATTAAAGGTGCAGTAAAAGGATTCAGGTTAGCTTTTAGCAGCAACATCCAAGTTGCCCAGACTCAAAACCACTCCCCTGCCTCCACCAAACCCAACCCCCAGCACACATTACCGCCTTTTCTGTAACAACGTTGTCTGTGATGAAGCCTGAGCTTGAAATGTGAAAGTATTATTATACATTAGGGCTCAAGTCTGTGAGTGATTTTCCTGCCGTACTTGACAAGGGCTAGCTTCCCCTAACAAACTAGCTTTTAGCAAAACTCTGCGTTCTATCGGACCGCTACAGGTATCTGGGTGTGTCCATTCCTATTTGAAAACACATGATATTTTGACTACTTTTGGGGTTTAGGGACGTTTCCTCAAAGTAGTTTAAAAATTGTGTCTGGATAAATCATTGACTGCATCTTTAAGGGGCTTTTAGAGCAAAGACAGAGGAGTCACTCTGGGATCAACAGAATCACGTCCAGCATGAAAGCTCTGATCAGTAATTATATAAATGTTACTTTTAACAAGATTTGAGGCCACTCTATCAGCTGCTGTGTTTGTGGCAGATGCCACACAGGTGCCACACAGGTGCTACACAGGCATTTTACGTTTTTCCTTAACATTGACAACCGTTAGAAAGATATATTTTAGCCCGCAGCCCTTTGTGTTCAGCTGCAGTCTGTTGTGGCCGCAGCTGCCCTGGGGCGGCCAGATAAACGGAGGCGGTTTGAGGCTCTGTGGCGCCGCTCCGCTGCAGAGTTATAGGTTCTCCTCCAACACTTTAAAAAACTATGTATATTTTAGCTAAAAAGAGACTGCATTCGTTTCCACTTGATTTGAGCTGCTGCAACTGACCACACCACAGGAAATGCTTTTTGACTCCGAACAAAATGATTCCAGTTCTATGACATGCATCTGTAGAGAAACTGCTCCAGGGGCATCACTTCAGCTTCTATTTAGTCAACTGCATAGAATGTTTGTGATCTAAATAACTACTGTAATCTATTCATTGAGAGAACAACCGGCCAACTAACAGATGATCAAAATAAAGAGACCTGCACACTAGGGCCTTGTGACATATTTATAAACCAATACTGCATTATCGATTAGCAACAATAAATCCAGTTCATTGGAATCCTCGATCATAGTATTCTCATTGATTCTTTGCCTTTATGTCATGTATTGTTTTGATAATACAAACAGGAGGTGTGTAATTAACTGTCGTTTCCTTTCAGACGAAGATAGAATACGACCGGTTGATCGCGTCCATCGGTAAGAAGCAGCCTCCGGAGTCGGGGATCAAGGTGCGGTGGAGGGGAGGGGGGGTTTCTCTGGCCCAGAGGAGAGACTTCATCCAGCAGCTGCACAGTCTGACGGGAGACTGCCCTCTGCCCATGGAGCTCAACAACAAAGAGTACCAGGGCTTCCAGCTCGCTCTCCTCAATAAGGTGAGCACCATGTGACGTTTACACACAGGGTCATGACAGACACATGAGCGTTCAATCTATTTTTGCATAGCCCTAAATCACAGCAGTAGTTTCCTCGGAGGATTTGTCAACGCAGATCAGAATGTACAGGAAATGTAATGTTGACCAATGTCCATGAATGTGGTTGAAAGTCCTGGATCATCGCCACAGACAGATCCAGGGACAGTGTGTGAGATGATAAATGTTCTCTGCCTCTGTGTCTCCAGATAACAGGTCACATGTCACACATATATCTCCTTACTCAAATGTTTGGAAATGTAAACATGTCAACTGTTAGCGTCTCCATAATGACCTCTGGGCCTTTTGTCTTTCTATGAACTTTCTGGTGACATACTCTCTCCTCTCTTTCTCTCTGCCTCTCTCTCTCTCTGGCCTCTCTCTCTCCTCTCTCTTGTGTCCCTCCTCTCTCTGTCCTCTCTCTCTCTCTGGTCTCCCTCTTATGTCTCTCTCTGTTCTCTCTTTCTCTGTCCTCTCTTTCTCTCCTCTCTCTGCTCTCCCTCTCTTGTCTCTCTTTCTGTCCGCTCTCTGGTCTCTCTCTCTGTCCTCTCTCTCTTTCTGTCCTCTCTCTGGTCTCTCCCTCTCCTCTCGCTAGTCTCCCTCTCTGGTCTCTCCTCCCTCTAGTCTCCCTCTCTGGTCTCTCCTCCCTCTAGTCTCTCTCTCTGGTCTCCTCTCTCTGGTCTCCTCTCTCTGGTCTCCTCTCTCTGGTCTCCTCTCTCTGGTCTCCCTTCTCTGGTCTCCTCTCTCTGGTCTCCCCTCTCTGGTCTCCCCTCTCTGGTCTCCCCTCTCTGGTCTCCTCTCTCTGGTCTCCTCTCTCTGGTCTCCTCTCTCTGGTCTCCTCTCTCTGGTCTCCTCTCTCTGGTCTCCTCTCTCTGGTCTCCTCTCTCTGGTCTCCCTCTCTTGTCTCCCTCTCTCTGGTCTCTCTCCCTCCTGTTCCCCCTGCACCATGCCTCTATAACATAAGCTTCTGCATAAATGTTTTCTTTCCTTATAAACGCCTCTTCCTTCTCGTGCCGTTCTCTGCTCAGGGTTTGAAGCCTCAGAGTTTCCGGAACCCGTACGACATCCCGCGCTCGCACCTCCTGGACCAGCTGAGCCGCATGAGGAGGAACATCCTGAAGACCAACGTGTGCACGCTGAGAGGACACGACTCTGGTGAGAAGACCCGGTCTGCGTTAAAGACCCGGTCCGCGTTAAAGACCCGGTCCGCGTTAAAGACCCGGTCTGCGTTAAAGACCCGGTCTGCGTTAAAGCCCGCCATGCGTTAAAGCCCGCCATGCGTTAAAGCCCCGCCATGCGTCAAAGACCCGCCATGCGTTAAAGCCCGCCATGCGTTAAAGACCCGCCATGCGTTAAAGCCCGCCATGCGTTAAAGCCCGCCATGCGTTAAAGCCCCGCCGTGCGTTAAAGCCCGCCGTGCGTTAAAGCCCGCCATGCGTTAAAGCCCGCCATGCGTTAAAGCCCGCCATGCGTTAAAGCCCGCCATGCGTTAAAGCCCGCCATGCGTTAAAGCCCGCCATGCGTTAAAGCCCGCCATGCGTTAAAGCCCGCCATGCGTTAAAGCCCCGAGCTGTGTTAAAGACCTGATTGATTTTCTATTGACTTCATAAAAATGCGTAGAACTACATACATACAGGGTGTATTAAAAACCGTGAGAGAGGGGAGAGACGAGAGGGAGCAGACGAGTGTGTAAAGACCTGCACTCACTCCAGCAGGGGCCGATGGCACAGACTGGTTGCCTCGCTTCTGTCAGTTTGCCCCAGGGCAGCTGTGGCTACAGTAGTTTATCATCATTGTGTTTGGAATAAAATGATAACATGTGAAGCGTCTTTGAGCGTCCAGGAAATTGCTGTTTAAACAAATAATAATAATAATAATAATACAGCATTATTGAAGTCTTTAGACCCCGTTGCTGTTGCTTAGAGCAGTGTTTTGAACCTTTTTGAACCGTGGCACATTTTCCAATGTCACTAAGGCGGCACCGCAGTGGCTGAGTGGTTAGCCCCATTGCTTATCAAGAAGGTCCTGGGTTCGAATCCCGGTCGGAACTGGGCCTTTCTGAGTGGCGTGGAGTTTACATTGTCTACGTAGGGTTCCTCCGGGTGCTCCGGTTTCCCCTACCATTAAAAACAATAGCTCTAGCGCCTCCTGTGTGTGAGACAAATGCCCACAACACTGTAAAGCTCTTTGTGACGCTGTGAAAGGCGCTACATCAATAAAGACGACTCGGTTGAAGCATAAGTCACTGGAGTGTTCTCTGTAGTCAGCAGGATGTATTTACACATGTTTATATCGTACTCGCACACATCACCCGCTGGTACTAACCCATGGTCCTGTCCCATGGTCCTCAGACCAGCTGCACAGCGTCCCCATCGCTCAGATGGGAAACTACCAGGACTTCCTGAAAGCTGCTCCTCAACCGCTCCGAGACGCAGACCCCGAGCAGCCCAAGCGTCTGCACACCTTTGGGAACCCCTTCAAACTGGACAAGAAGGTAACACACTACACACAGACGGTAACACAATATAGACACACACTATACACAGAAGGTAACACAATATACACACTGTACACAGAAGGTAACACACTATATACACACACTGTACACAGAAGGTAACACACTATACACACACACTATACACAGAAGGTAACACACTATACACACACACTGTACACAGAAGGTAACACACTATACACACACACTGTACACAGAAGGTAACACACTATACACACTACACACAAACAATATACACAGAAGGTAACACAATATACACACACTATACACAGAAAATAACACAATATACACACCACACACAAAAAGTAACACAATAGCCACACACTGTACACGACACACACTACACACAGAAGGTAACACACTATATACACACACTACACTGTACGAGGTCTTTCAGAATCTACCTCATGTGGAACAAACTTAGACTAAAGTTGAGTCTGGAATAAAGATCTATTATTGAAATATCCTTGAGCCGCTTTGGGGTCTTCGCACACAGTTCATGCAAGGCAAGAATGGACAGATTTACCATCAGAGAGAAAAGACCAGAGAGACAAGCGAGAGAGATTCACCATCAGAGAAAGGAGATTTACGATCAGAGAGAAGAGACCAGAGAAAGGAGAGAGATTTACGATCAGAGAGAAGAGACCAGAGAAACAAGCGAGAGATTCACCATCAGAGAGGAGACCAGAGAGGGGAGAGAGATTTACCACCAGCGAGGAGAGAGATCGAGGAGAGACCTGAGAGAGAGACCCCTTTACCATTAGAGTGGATACCAGCGAGAAACCTGAGGATACCAGAGATGAGTGAGAGCGGAGAGAGACCAGAGAGAGCGGAGAGACCTCTTTACCATCAGAGAGGTTACCAGCAAAAGACATGAGAGAGACGGACCGGAGAGAGAGCTTTACTCTCAGAGGATGTCGGAGAGAGAGACCAAGTGGTCATAGAAGTTAAAGGGCCACACCCGCCGTTAGCTTGGTGTGGTTTGAAGCTAACAGGTGTCTGTGGTTTCAGGGCATGATGATCGACGAGGCGGATGAGTTCGTGACGGGGCCTCAGAACAAAGGCAAGCGTCCGTCTGACAGCAGTAACCTCCAGGGGGGCGGGCCCAAACGCAGACGCTGTATGTCCCCCCTGCTGCGGCTGGGACGAGCCTACACGCCCCCAGTGACTCCCCCCTCCACTCCCCCCTCCAGCCCCCGCCACGACACAGGTGAGCCAGAGGTCATCCCAGAGGATTCAGTGTCATAGCAACAACCTAGCAACGAAAGAGCCAATCCAGGAGCAGTGTGGATGTATAGAAAACAAATGTGTGGATTTAAGCTGCAGTACCACAGGTGGCCTCTAGTCCACGTAGAGCTGGGTCTAAGCAGCCACAGCCTCCACATCATAGAACATCCACGGTGGGAATTGCCCTCATGAATTTGATTTGGTTTCGGAAATGACTCGGACCACAGATAGTAAATGTAAGTATGTAATACAGAAAAACTAATACAATTAAAACTTATGTTGTAGAATGTATTTGATGACTAAACCAGACTAAATTCACGAAGGCTGCACAGAAATGTTCCCCGTAGAACTCAATGTAAACTAAAACAACAACAGAGAACCTGACAGAGAACCTACAGCTTTCATAAAGATCAGATTTTGTGGGGATTTTAGTGTCCCTTGTCGTCCTGAACTTTTTTTCTTAAATCCTTCGGTTTTTGTCAGGATTTAGCAGACAGAGACGGATCGTGGTGTGCCAAACATTAGTTGGTATTAGTATTAGATAGCAATATGGCCTACGTGCAGGACTGTACAAGGACTCTACAAGGACTCCATGTTATGACTATGATTTGACTGTCTCTTTGTGACACGTATGTCTTTCGATGTGTGACGTGACAATGACTATATAAACTGTGTACTTTACTTTCACTATTCACTATAGTTTAAAACTATTCTAATCTATTCACAAATATGTGTTGCATATTTGCTTCTATTGAGCCATATTCTCAAACATACATTTTAATCTAATAAATCTCTCTGTGGTATTATATACTCTCATTATCAGTGGCTTATTGTTAGTGGGATTTTGCTCCATGTCTATTCTCATTCTCAGGAATAAAACTGTGAACACAGTAAGGCAAATGGTCAACATTTACACTTCTATAGTGGTCAGTGATTTATTACTTTTTATTATCTAAAGATATTATTGTCAGGCATTTGGGATGAATGTACATCATTAATCAAATTATTATTATCCTAATAGTAGCTAATTAGGTTGAGCAGGTTTGGGGTTGGGGTCAGTTATTCTACAATGGTGTTTGTGCTGGAAACTTCTCAATATCTAAATATCTACTATACTGTTTTTGTGCTACACCCAAATACATCAAAATGCTTTTAAATCTCTGTTGGTTGTAATCTATCTCATTAATCTAGGCATTAATCTCGGCTACACTCATTAACTTTTGCATAATCAACATTCACTCATGTGTGAACACAAGTGAATTTGGCAGTATCTAATAAAACTGTACATAAACTGTAATTAACTTTATCTACTTCTGAAGTAAATGTTTGTGAAATGGTCCCTTTACCATTTGATATTAGCACTGGCTAAGAATATTCTCTATTTTTGAAAGCATCTATGGTTGATGCATTTATCTATCTCTATTTTTACACTATTGTGACTCCAAAGTTTGGCTGCAGTTTGAGCAAAGGCATATTCCTAATTTGTGACTTCTGTCACTTTCAATGGCTGTAACATTATTCTGATTCTAATATTCTAGCTGATCTATCAAAAGGATAACATTGTAGGGTACTATTTTAACTCTTACGTGGAAATATGTTTATGAACAACAAAGAAAGGACAATTCTACTTTTTTACTACTATTTAACATCTACTAAAACGCTACAATACTCATACTTTATCATTTTAAAACATTTTAACAGTTGCTCAGTCTCCCAGACAAAAAAGTCAAAGTTTTTGTCTGTCAGATGTCTGAATACTTAACATGTATATTGCATTTGTCACAGGTTCTGGTTTTAGCAAAAGCATCAGCAATAGACGTTTTCATTGGCTGGTTCTTGTTCTGCAAATGGCTGTGTCCAATAGATCATCAGATGTCCAGAAGCTAGGGACAAACAAAAACAAAAGAAGAATCATGAGTATCTCTCTCATTTAGCACTCATCAATGTATGATTTCAAAAATATAAACATCACTCCCCAGTTTTTCTCTCCAAGGTCCTCAGGTCCTCAGGTCCTCAGGGTCCCCTGAGGGTGAGTCTCAGTCGTCATCAGGTCAGGTCATCTTGGACATCAGTAGGGTCCAAGCCATGGTTCTGGTTCTGGTCTCCAGATGCACATCAGATCTCCAGATACAGTCTTTTCACTTGAAGCACATCAGGTCATTTGCGATGCACTTCTGGTCAATGGTGCAGTGTCTCAGTTCCTGTACACAGCTTGTTATGCAATAGTTACTCTCTATGGTTAAATCACTTTGATTCTACTTTAACACAATTTCTATTCATGCTGTTGCTAATGTCTCTCAGACAAAAGCAAGCGCAGTTTACTTCTCTAATTTGTGTTTTTATCAGATCTAATTCTAATCAATGTAATTACTTCACACAGTACAAAATCAACAAATCAAAAGTGTCAGGACAGAGGTCAATTATGTCCATGACAATATAGAATTCAAATGAACATTTCTGGTCTCAAAAAATACTGATTCAAGTAAAGATTCAAGTGATAGACAATTAAAAATATGTGTACATTGGAGTAAACTTTTAAAATGCTTTTTTTCTCATGTTCTGCTTTTTCATGTATCTATATGTAAATGTGAATGTGTGAGTGTATGTGTGTGTATGTGTGTGTGTGTGTGTGAATTTTGGGGTTATGTCTCCAGACTCCTCGAACCACCTGTAGGTGTCAAAGGTCACACTGTGGTGATGTAAACCACGTAGACACACTTTCAACTCTCCTCCAGGTCTCTACCTGACGCTCCACCCATCACTGCCTCCAGAAACCTCTCTTTCATGGCCCCGGTCTCACTCCCACTTACTTCTGTAGTGGGGGGAGGGGCAAGGAGGTGGCATTTCCCTTTGCTCTTTGATCTGTGACCTGTGGCTGGGTGGGCTTTGCGCTGTCCAGTGTCCAGCAGTGACCTCTCGTACAGTGAGGCAGAGTCTGAAAAACAATCCTTGACACGGCCAATTTAAAAACAACAGATACAGTATCAGTATGTGAATGAGATTGTTTTTCTCTCTGAAGTCAAAACAATTTTGAGATTACTTATTATCTTACTAATGATGACATTTTAAAACCAGAAACTCTTTCTTAATAAAAAACAAGACTCAAATCCCTTGAACCTTCAACCTTTAAAATATGTATTATGTACTTTTGTACTGTGTGTTTAATTATCTATGCATTTATCTCAGCATATATTTTACTAATTTAAAATAATTGCAGCATTTTTCAAATGAAGTCAGTATGAATTGGAGCACATTTTAGACCAGTCTCCTCTGCTGTGGCATCAGCAGGAGCAACAAGGTCAGGCGTGTAGTCAAAACAAAAACAAAAGTCACCACTTGCATGTGAATTGGGTAGTTTAACTTAATAATATAATACTTTTACAAGCCTAATTCCCTCTTTCTTTTTTAGACGAAGTCTACAATCATTAATCACATTGAACACCTGCTGGTGTAGTAAACGTTAGTTTATTTAAAATAAAGAAGCAGGCTGACATGAGTCCTGGATCAGAGCAAGGCATCACCGGGCGGCAAAGAAAAAAAAAGGAAGCCGGTTAGAGGCAAGGGAGAGGCGAGAGAGAGCCGGTAGAGCAGGAGAGGCGGGGATAGGCGAGCTCCGGGGTTGAGACACATACATGGCGGTGACAAGCTGAAGTACCGCTGAAAGCGAAACTCCGTCCGTACGCAGCTCCTGGAGTAAATGACGGAACTCGCAAACACTGCAGCCTCATCAAGTCTTGGGACTACCAGAACATGTTTTTGTTTGACTCCAACAACAACGTTATATTGCTTTATATAACAAATAAAAGTGCTCGCTGCGCTCATTGAAAAACCACCTGTCTGTCCTGAACGTCAGGCAACGGGGAGAGAAGCTCCTCCCACCGGCGTCATCCGTCACTCGCGTCAAAAGCTTCAAGCACCAAAGGACAAACTATCCCGGCGTCAGTTTGAAGCGCGTCACAAGCTTTTTGAAGCTTTTGTCTGAACGCGCCTTAAGGAACAGAAAAGTCAAATACATGAAAAAAGAAACACTGAACATAATGGAAACTTTCCCCAAACCAGGAGATAAGACTGAAGTGAGATCCTGTAGAGTCTGACTCTGGGTTCACAGGATGCAGCCTCAGCTCAGTCTCCTTCATTTTGGTCCAGATGCTTCAGAACCTGCTTCTCGTACAGGTTTTAATGTGTTTAGTAAGAGATGAACCATTAGAAAAAGACTTTTCGCACTTTTCACAGACAAATGGTTTCTCTCCAGTGTGGATCCTCTGGATGCACTTTGAGATGACCACTCAGGAGAAAAACTCTGACCACTTTCGTCGTCAGCTGAAGGTTCCTCTCCATGTGGATTCTTATGTTGCTGAGTTAAGATTTCCTCTTTCGTATAAAACATGTTCCACACAGGTTCACACTCGTACTTCTTCTCTCCATGTGGCTCCGAGGTGACATGTGAGTGCGCTCAGTTGCTGTTTTTAAAAGTTTTACTGCAGAATCTCATGCCAATGGCTTTTCTCCAGAGTGGATACCTGATGCACTATGAGATGATCACTCCGAGAAAAACTCTGACACAATCGTACGTCAGCCTGAAGGATTTCTCTCCAGTAGTGGAATCTCTCATGTTCATTGTAGTGTGAAACTGAGTAAACTTCTTCCCACATTCTCCACAGACGAATGGTTTATCTCCAGATGTGGATTTCTAGTGATCAGTGAGTGAGATTAACAAGTAAAAGTCTTTCACACTGGTCACATTGTGAGGTCTCTCTCCTGTGTTGGACCACCTGAAGTAGTGGAGCAGCTGTTTGGTCCTAAATAGTTTTTTCACCACTGGTCACACTCAAATTTTCTCTCCTGTGTGGTATCCTCTGATGACCTTTGAGAGTACCCTCTTGTCTAAAAACTCTGAATCACAATCGTTGACAGCTGAAGGTTTTTCTCCAGTGTTGAATTCTGTTGTGGACCTTGAGCTTTTGTTTGTAGTAAAACAAGTATCCACAAACGATCACACTCGTATGGTTTTCCTCCAGTGT